TTGTGGATGTGAGGACAGAGGCAGAGTTTGCAGGTCGTGTTCAGTATCACTGTGATAACAAAGACTGCACTCTGAGAATCACAGACCTGAGAGAGAGCGACGCAGCTGAGTACAAGTTCAAATTTGTGACAAACCAACCAGGAGGGAAATATACTGGATCACCTGGAGTCACTCTGTCTGTCACAGGTCAGATTTTTATATTTAAATGTTTTCAAAATAAAAATGTTTTGGTGGAACTTTGAGACACTATAAGCTATGAATGTTGTGTATATTTTATATTTTGCTGTGTATAATTTTTAGTTCTCCAGGCACAAGTGATAAAAACTTGGCCAACCTGGTATCCTACTTGGAAAAAGGTGACGTGTCAGAGCAGCTGTCGTCTACCTGATCCTCATTCCTATGTCTGGTACCAGAATGAAGTGAATATTGACAGAAAGGAATCTTCTTTTGAAAAACACTTTGATGATACAGACAGCATTTCCTGTGCTGTAAAAGGATACGAGAAGCTTCCCTCTCCTTCAGTGTGTGAGTTTACTTCAGTCTTACACTGACAAAACATATCATTAATTTCTGTTTCTAATAAAAAAGATGTTGCTGCATCTTCATGTTTATTTTATATCTCAGTAAAGCCAATAAATCAACAATAAGTCCCAACAGCCTCCTGCTCTGTGGTGCTGCAGTCAAATCTTCCTCTAACAAATCTGTTTCATATATTTTAGGTGTTGGTGATCAAACCTGTAACACAGTGACTTACACCAACAGAAGCATCTGTGCCCTCAAAGGTTCATCAGTGGACATTTCTTGCATCTACAGTCATACACATCCTGCTGTGTCCAAATTCTGGTTCAGTCCTGAACGTAGTCATCAGTGGCAGCATCGCTCACACCCCGAGGACCTCAGAACAGACTCCCACTATGCAGGTCGTGTTGAGGTCATTGAAACAGAGAGAGGACGCTCGACTCTGAGAATCAGAGACCTGACAGAAAGGGATTCAGCCGAGTATCACTTTAAATTCAAATCACAAAGCTTTGAATGGAAGAGTAGTTTACCTGGAACAACTCTGAGTGTCACAGGTACTGAAGAAAACACAATGTTAGCAGGTTTTTGTTTTTGTGATCTCAGATATCAAAGGTAGACTTACATATCCACACATAAAGCCTCTCTCTACATGATGTCACTGCCGTGCTGTCATATTCAGCTCTGCAGGTGAAGGTGAGCAGAATAATATCAGTCCAGCAGACTCAGACTGAGGCAGAGCTCAAGTGTCAAAGCAGCTGCAGTCCAGCTGGTCGTCTTTCTTACGTCTGGTTCAGGAACGGACAGAAAAAGACGACACAGCAAACTTCTGCCTATACAGACTACTTTAATCCTGGAGACATCATCTCCTGTGCTTTCTCTGGATACGAGGATTACCGCTCTCCATCAGTGTGTGAGTTTAATTCACTGTGTCACCAACAACATATCACAGCTCCAAGCCAGCTACAGTTTATCATGCTGTAATGTTACATGAGTTTAAACGCCAACTTTAATAAAGAAATCTTTTATCTGCAGATCCGTCAAAGCTTCCCTCTGTGTCAGTGAGTCCCTCTGGTGAGATAGTGGAGGGCAGTTCAGTCACTCTGACCTGTCGCACACATGCTAATCCAGCAGCTAAGAACACTTTGTACAAAGGCAACCAAATCTTGCCTCTAACACCAGAAGGTATTTATAATTTCACCTCCATCAGCTCTGAGGACAGAGGAATCTACGACTGCAAGACTGAGGATCAGCTCTCTGTGTCTTTATTCATAGATGTCCAGTGTGAGTAAACATCAGCAGATCAGTGATCAGCTGGGAGTTGTGTTCAATTTATTTCCATCATATAAACAATACACAGAAGTTCACTGAGCAAAGAATAGAAAAGGCTATACAAATAACGCAACTACATTTCAATATCGCTTCACCTTTTCTGATTCAGCTAAATATCAAAAATGAGTTGGAAGAAGTTCACACTTCTTTAATGCCCCTTTCACCTTAAGTTATCGATCAATATTTGAGCTTCCTTACCGATATAATCTGCACAAATAATATTGAAGGTATTTCTAATATAATATATACAGCACACATAGCACAAATTATGATAATAGTTAATATCATGGTATTATAAGAATTCTTATTTTCATATGAATTATGATCATATCACATCATATGATCATTATATCAGTAATTAACAGTTTCCTGTCATGTTTTTATTCTTGGTGGAGTTTTTCTCACACTGAATATTAAAATGTTGCTGTAAAAATTTCACAATAATTTTTTCGGTTTCCTCCAGATGCTCCAAAGATTCCCTCTGTGTCAGTCAGTCCCTCTGGTGAGTTAGTGGAGGGCAGTTCAGTGACTCTGACCTGTAGCAGTGATGCTAACCCAGCAGCTAACTACACCTGGTACAAGGAGGATGATGACTCAGCAAAAGCATCTGGACAGAACTTCATCATCACTGACTTCAGACCTGAACACAGTGGAAGTTATTACTGTGAAGCCCAGAACACACGAGGACGTCGCAGCTCCACCTCCCATCATCTCACTGTTGTGACAGGTGCTCTTTCTACATTTACAAGTCTGTTTATTGCAACAATTTTCATTGATGCATTACTAAAAAAACAGTTACAAAGAAAATAAGATTCCTCTCCAGGTTTTCAAAAGAAAAGTGTATGCTCTCTCTCTCTCTCTCTCTCTCTCTCAATCACATTAAATTTCTATCTCCTTTTTAGGGGAATCAATAATAATACAGAATATTATCAGATTAACTTTGGTGGTCCTGATGCTGACTCCTCTGCTTCTTGTGATTTTGTGGATGAGGTAAAATAAAACATTGCTCTGTTGCAGAAGTGGTCTTTGACTTTCTAATTTAATAGTTTTACATTTAAAATGTGATTATTTGTTATTAGCAAGAAGAAACCTTGGAGCTCTACAGCTGAATCAAATGAACTTATGGAGACAATGGAGGTGAGAGTGAGATAGAGACAGTGTCAGAATTGAATGGGTGTTGTTGAAACATCTTGTCTAATCTCTTACTCTGTTTAATATACTATCATTATCCATGCTATTGTAAATATTTTAGTAGTTTATTACAAATGGATTTTTAGTAGAAAAGTTAATTTCTGTAAAAACATTTGACCACATTTTATAAAGAAATCTTATTGTATCCATGACAATCTGTTTTGAGTTTGCTGGATGGAAACATCAGGCCAACCTTCAAGCAAAAGTTCACCATCTAATTTTTGAGAAGATCTAATCAGAAACTCTGTTATTTTGTACAGATGCAGTCAAACCATAAACAGGACTCAGCTGATGGAAACAGAAAGTAAAAAACAGCACAGTGGAGAGTGATGCTGATGCATACAGAATTATATTTTTACTTTTAGCTCCAGTTATATAAAGTTTATTTGTCAGCAGCAGAACGTTAGACTAGAATTACAGCTTATTTTTAGCCTTCTCTTACCTGTTCAGATTATGTGTAGTACAGAAGTTCTTATCCAAGGTGTATTTTTAGATTCATTTGTTTGTAAAAGTTAAAGATGCAGTAAAAACTGCTCTCCCAACAAAAAGATGCTGATCTAGAAGAAAATATTTTACAGCACTTGCGGCTTGTTTTTTGTTAACAAAAGAGAAAAACCTGCAGCTACAACAGCTCTGTATATTGAAGATCAGTTCCCTGTGAATGCTACAGAGGTCATCATTATGCAACAAGTTTTTCAAATTGAAATAAACTCTTTATTTTTTCAGAATAGACGTTTCATGTACTTCTCTTTCAGAGGTTGATGCTTGTCATTGCAACACATTATTACAAAGGTAGAACACACCATAAAGCAAAAATAACTGCTTCATGAATTCAGACATCGCTAGATTTGATATGAAAATAAATGCCAAGATTATAAACTCTGCCAGTTATCAGCAGCTGGATAGATTTACAAGCACAATCCCAAGACCTGACACAGCATGCTATATGTGACCTGCATTAGAGTGGTCATTGGATGCATATGCAAGGATAAAAATAATGATGAGCTTGACCTCATAATGATCTTTACCTGCACCAAACAATTTAGCTAGAGTCTACCTTTATGTAGTACACTGTGACAAGGAGCCGACACACTCACAAGCAGTGATTCAGGACAAGAGTCCATTTATTCACCTTCACGGTGTCAGGGCTCTGGGTCTTGGACCCAGCTTTTGAGTTACAGCAATACATCACGTGTCTGAATTTAAAGGGATTGTTTTTTTATTTTGACATACTCTATTAGCACAATTAATCTAAATTTAGACAAAAAACATAAAATCTGAGTAGGAAGAAAATAAAAAGCAGTGATGTGATGACAGTGGGTGCAAACATACAAGTACTACAGGCGAAGGTTGACAAGCTCGTGATTAATTTCATTTGTGAAGGTCATTTTCTGTGGTTGAACAACCTTCTTTTAGATAACTTTCATTGACACTGAATCCACAATGAAAAGTCATTTGCAGGCATACTCGACCATAATAGAGGGAGCTGCCAATAAGAAGAAAAAAACTTTGATTTTGCACCTCAGTAAAGTCAGCCATGTTGCCACCATTACAGATTGTTGGACAGCACACCGGCAGTTTCATAGGGTCACAGCTCTTTGGATAGATGAGGAAACCTTGGAGAGCTGATCTACTGCCCATTCAATTCAATTCAATTTTATTTATATAGCGCCAAATCACAACAATAGTTGCCTCAAGGCGCTTTATATTGTACAGATCGTACAATAATAGATACAGAGAAAAACCCAACAATCATATGACCCCCTATGAGCAAGCACTTTGGCGACAGCGGGAAGGAAAAATTCCCTTTTAACAGGAAGAAACCTCTGGCAGAACCAGGCTCAGGGAGGGGCTAATAAACTAATAACTGAGGTAGCTTCAGCCATTGTTTTCCATTTGTCTTTTGCTTCATAGTTTAGAAACAAATAACTTTTCACTATGAATTCTTCACAGACATTCCTGATAGCATCCTCCCCCTTCTCTTGTATGATCCGTGTGATTCTTTCCAGAGCTATGTATGTTTGATTAGTCGGATAAGTTGGAAAATTCATTTACTTTCCACAATTTCTGCTACGTAGGACCGACCCAACTTATTCCAGATTTCCTGGCATTTCTGAAGGCGGCTTGTGATAGCCATTTGTATGCATCATGCATCTTTTGCAGCATCTGTTGTGGCCCCTTTGGTCTGTTCAGAAGTCTTGATCCGACTCTGATGCCGCTTTCTTAGGCCAACGTTGTTCGCCAAACACAAGGAATGCTTTTATAAAGTTTGAGCCACTGTCTGGTGTAGTTCTTACCACTTCCCACCTTATTCTGTATTGACAATGAATGTCATCAAGGGCACCAGCTAGGACATCAAAGGTGTGGGACCCTTTCAACCCCTGGCAAGCAAGGCCAGCTGTCAGTATTTTTTTTTTTTGCACTGTTTTGTAGAGACATGATAATTCCTTCAAGGCAAGTTAAAATGTATCCTAACAATAAACCTTGGGTGACTAAATCTGTGAAGTCCAGCATACAGAAAAGGAATCATATCTTTAAACATGGTACACCTTCTGACTTCCAGATGGCCAGTAAGGAGCTGAAAATTGAAAGTCTGACGGAAATATAAAGCAGGCCTTCCACTCCATAATAAATAAGTCTTAAGGACCCGTTAACCTACATTTATAGTCATTTACTTAAACCTTGCACTCAAAAAAAGTAAGTTTATGTAGCACTAAATCACAGCAGCTGCCTGAAGATATTGTTAAGCAAAGACACTACAATAAAATAACTTATACACACAAAATCATTTCTCTTAGACTTCAGTTAAAGCTCACATTGTGAAATATGTTGAATGTTATAAATATCTTAGAACAGTGTTGATTCAAAGCTTTATTATGATGTATTTAAGCTGTGTGCAAAAAGGGGCACCAGCAATATTCATATTTGTTTCTCATTTTCACAGCGATTAAACCATGATGATTCTCCTTTGTCATGCATGTTGAATCTGTTTTTCTTTTTCTTTAGTGTTGTGTTTTGGATATCTGTAAGAAACAGAAACTTAGTCAAACTCTTAAGTGGCCCAATTGGCTAAATGGTGAATCACCAGCTGAACCAAGCACCCATGCAAACAAGTCGGGTACAGCAACGGCAGGTCGATGTTTCTTGAAGATTCACATCCTTTGTAAAATAGCCAGCCATTATTTTTAGCCATTTATTCTTTTTTTTTTTCTTTTCTTTCAGTGAGTCTTTGTTTTTCAGTATCTTGTACTGTGGGCAATGTCGGAATTGATATTTTTTGTATTGTCATTTATGCTTAGAAATATATAATCATTTGTATGCCGATAAAGTATCTTATCCTTATTAGGTCTGATAAGAGTCTGTGTGCACTTGTGCACCATGAGATGAGTGGAAGCAGACTTGACGTTATAATTTCCATTAGCTGTAGAAAGCAGACTGTCTTGTTCATTATCTTAAAGTGTAAGACTTCACACCTTTAAATGTCCTACTGCAAGTTCATGTTTTTATATTTTAGCAAGACGCTTACTTCTGCTTTTCTTCATACCTCATACACACAGTTTAAGTTAATTGAAAGGTCGTATGTGGCCCTGCGACAGACTGGCGACCTGTCCAGGGTGTACCCCGCCTCTCACCCTATGACAGCTGGGATAGGCTCCAGCGCCCCCCGCGTCCCTGAAAAGGATAAGCGGAAGCAAATGGATGGATGGAAAGGTTGTATGTCTATGTATGGTATAGCTGGAAATATACACACACACACACGCACACACACACACAGAATATAGACACTGATGTTGCTTAAGAATGTCACCCAATGTTCCCTCTAAGCTGGGTGCGTGCGCAATAGCGCACTGTTGGCACGGTCTCTGCGCAGAAAAAATCTGCATTGCGCACAGATTCTAACCTGAATTGAAATGAAAGTAAATATGTGCCACCGGTGACACCGGTGTTTTAGCAAAGGGGCTGACGTGGACTGAAGTCACGTTAATGACAACGTGTACAACCACTGGAGATGTGAGCAGGACAGACGGAACAATTGATGGAAAACTTGTGGACTTTACACCAGTTTTTAAATTGTTTTGACAGGCCACGAAAAACCAGAGTTGTGATAAAAAAAAATATGCAATGTTTGGTTTTCCTGGATACTACCGTTGTTCATATTTACTGTGGGAAGAAAACGCTGAAAACTGGTTTTTTTTAAGGAAAACGCTCGAACTCACTCTCCGCCTGTGAGTAAAGACAAAACCGATACACCCCCAACCTTTCCCATTGGTTGAAAAATGTACCATGTCGACCAATCAAAACATGGCATTTAGTTGTTAAGATACGGGAGGAAGTTTTAGGAGTGACGGCGGTGTTTTGAGATGTGAGACATTTGCAACGTTTAGCGCAAATGTTGTGTAGTTAGTGTGTAGTGTAGTCAATAGTTTTGTTGTGTGTGTCAGAACAATGACGCGACTGCTGAATGTTACAGGTGTTACAGGAGTGATACATCTCCTGTTG